CTCTGCTCCTCACGGAGAGGACAGCACAGTGAGAAGAGAGATGGAGGTGTCCTCTGTGATTCCCTGCAAAGGCTGCACCCCCTGGCAGGGGCTCCTGCTCACAGGTAAGTGTACCCACTCTCTTACTGTGTGGGCGGAGAGGAAATTGAAGGCAGGCTAGAGTGTCCCAAAGAGGATAGGAGCCTGAGGGGAGACTCAGGTTTCTTTTTGCAGCCAGGGGGCAGAAGATACAGCAAGGGATGGAGGTTCAGCAGCCTGAGACTCTGAGCAGACAGGAGGTGATGAGGGGAAGCGAAAAGCCTTGAACACTCTGTATCCACAGTCAATTATGTTGCCTGCAATGTTCTAAAGAATGATGTCCCAAACCATGACTGGGTGACTCTCCAGATAGAAATCAAGCAGGAATGGGCCACTGAGAGGGCTCTCTGTGTGGAGACATGACAACCTGAATTTAATTCTTAGCTCGCACAAGGCAGATAAAGAGAACAGTCTCCTGCAGGCTCTTTTCTGACCTCCACACAGGTGCACCTGCACATGGGTACACTGAGATATTTTTGTCCACACAGGTGCTGTGACATACACCCACACTCGCACCCACAGAGACATTTTCCTCCACACCTATATGTGGCATACACCTTCACATGCACACATCAAGACACCTGCCTTCAGAAACACAGTACACAAGTAAATCTAAAATAATATAAATCACCCTTGAATATAATTATTGGCACTAACTACGAACCTGGGGACTATGTAGATAATCCCATTCCTTTTCCCTTCCTTCATTCCATCCTCTCTCCCTCCCTCCCCTCCCATCCTTCCTTCTTCCCTCCCTCTCCTTCCTTCCTTCCTTCCTTCCTTCCTTCCTTCCTTCCTTCCTTCCATCTCTTTTTCCTTTATCCACTTGTGTCTGAATCTTTTCCAGGAACTTAACTTTCCAAAAATGTCAGAGTAATGCCTGTCCTCACAATGCCCTTGTTCAAGTGGACCTGATGTCCATTTATCTGCAAGATGAAGTGGTGGGATGACTGGAATCACAAAGGGAATGGAGGAAAACAAGAGAAAGTAGGGACTCTCCAGCAGGGGAGTTGAGAGAAGCATTGCTCCTCACATCAAATACTCTATGTGAGGAGAGATGTAGGGACACTGAGGGGGAGAACCAGGCAGACACCTGAGCAGAGAATTTCTGAGAGAGTTAATAACATAATCAGAGGCTCTGATGGAATGGAAGTCATGTTGCTTGTATCTACCAAGCATGGCCACACCACTAACCACACACCTAAGTTGAGTGGTGACCACATCAGCTCAATACTGATGGTAATTCTCTGTTTCCTTCTAGCCTCCATTTTAATCTGTTGGCACCTTTCAACCACTGATGATTTTACCATGGAACCTGTCCCACCCCATGTGGCCAATGGAGACAATGTACTTCTTCTTGTCCACAATCTGCCCGAGAATCTTATAGCCTTCGCCTGGATCAAAGGGGAGATAAGAATGAATCATATAATTGCAATATATATACCAAACAAAAAGTTAAGTGTGCCAGGGCGTTTATATAGTGGTAGAGAGAAAGTGTATGGCAATGGATCCCTGCTCCTCCAAAATGTCAATGAGAAGGACACAGGAATTTATACCCTACAAACCTTTAATAGACGCACAGATACTGTGTCGCAAACATCCACGTACCTCTATGTTCACAGTAAGTGATTGTGAATTCTGCTGTTGGGTGGGCCTCATTCCATTGGACACACACAGTAGAGTATTCTGTGCCTTTCTTCCTTCTGCATTGCATCCCCTTATTAGGACTGGAGCATTCAGTGCAGGGCACACATGGTATAGAATAATGGCAATAGATCACAGTCCTTCATTTCACTTCACTTTACAGAGAGGTTAACGGAGGGTGGCTAACTCAACCTAGGATAACAGCCTCTGTCTAGAGTCTTGGGGTTCTGACACAATGTGTCCTTGAGAAAGATCCCAATGGAATCAACATTGGGCCTGTTGGGGGAAAATTGGGATCCTCACAGTGATGTGAGAACCAAGATTTCCTGGCTCTAGACCGCTGTTCCAGACTCTACTCCAACTAGGCCTGAGATGCATTTCACAAAGGTTGGATTTTGATCTCCTGATGGCAGGGAACAATGCTTTTTAGTAGTCCAAGTCCTGCACCTTTGGAACCAGCCAATGTACTGTCATGAGAGATATGGTAAGTCTAGTTCCCCTGGACATCTTCTCCAGAGAGTGAACATGGAGGGAGAGCTTAGCCAGACAGGTGCCCAGGCCATTACCTTTATGTTCTGATGGGCTTATGAGACTTCACAGGAAGGTCAGGGCAACCAAGGACAGGGAGAGAGGACACAGGTCCTCCTGAAAAGTGTCCTCTGGGGTCCAGCTCAGGGAATTGTCTCCTGTTGGGAAATGGCTACAGGCCTTGCTGATCTGACAGCTCTCCAGACATGAACTGCAGTTGCTCTAGTGATCACCTGGGGTGGCGTCAGGACACACAATAGACTAGTGGAAAAGAATTTGCCTGAATCAGGTCATTATCTAGTAGCCTGGTTCCACCCTCCTTTTTTCAGACCTGACAATCACAGACACAGCATTCTCAGACCTAATGGCATCTTAATGTGTCTGCCAGGAGATCATATTCTACTTCTCCCTTTCTGTGTTTTCTTTGGGAAATATGGAATACCCAAGGGGAATCAATTCAATAGTAGCCCAAGACACCCCAGAAAGACCATGGCATAGAAAAAGTGGAAGCATTGTCTTGAAATCTTACACGGGACAAAGGAGCTAACACCTTTTGTCCACAAATCAGAGCACCTACTCCCATATCCCCGGATGTGAGATTCCTGACACATCCTGGGTCTTTGACCTGGGTCAGAACTTTTTGACTGGTGGCTCCATTGAGAATAGGTTTGTTCTCTTCTCCACACATCACTCAGCTGGTCCTTTTGGGGCCTCACAGATATTTCTGTCACCTTCCTGCTGGGAGAAAATTCCATGTTTTCTGAGCATTGAGAACACAGGGCAGACTGGGTGCCCAGCTGGGTTTCTGTGTCACACACTTGTGCAGATTTTCCCTTTTGGTGCCCAGAGACCAAGGCCAGGACACAGCAGAGTGCAGAGTCCGGTGTCGATTAGAACCCCAAGAGAAACAGTAAAACAGTGATAACAAAGCCAGAAAGTGGAGATGCAGGGTCTGCAGGGGAAGAGGTCTGGCAGGCGTCACCCCAACACCAACACCGTAAATGTGAGCAGGGGTCTGATGGCAGTAAGACAGGGCCACATTGACAACTGAGGAGAGAGCACAACTGAGTGGAAATGACAGGTGTGGGGACACTGAACATGAGGGTCACGTGATGACCTCCACCAGGTAGGCCAGGGAGACAGTCACACACCTAGGACGAGCAGTGGACACAGCTGCTCAGGACACAGGCCCTATCTTATTCAAATACAAAAGTTTCAATTTAGATGGATCTGTCTCGTCTCTTCTAGAAGTCCTTTGGAAATGTGGACGCCTTGCCACCTCTGCCAGACCCACTATTGAATCAGTGCCATCCAGAATTGCTGAAGGAGGAAGTGTTCTTCTATTTATACGCAATCCCCCAGAGAATATTATAGGCTTTGTCTGGTTCAAAAGGATGACTGCAAACAGGAGACCTGTGATTGTCCAATACACAATAGACAAGAAAACAACTGTGTGGGGGCCTGCATACAGTGGCAGAGAGACGTTGTATAGTGATGGATCCCTGCTGATTCACGGTGTCACTCCTAAAGACTCTGGATGGTACGGTCTACAAATTCTGGGAACATACATCAAAAGTGAAGAAACAGCTGTGAAACTCCAGGTGCACAGTAAGTGATTGTCTGTGATTGTCCAGTGCTGGGTGGGGCTTAGACACATGGGATTGTCATGCATAGCCTGTGTCTCCCTCCCCTCTGCACTGTGTCCCCACGGGGAGGTTTGAGCACTTAGTGCAGAACACACTGGTAGAGACAAATGTCCATAGATCATCTTCCATCTTCTAACTCCACCTGCATCAAGGAAGACCTTGATGGAAAGTAACTCAGCCTAAGATGTCAGAGTCAGCCTAGGCTCTTGGGGCTCTAGACCAGGGATCGCTGAATCCTGTCATCCTTCCAAGGCTGGACTAAAGTGACCCAGGGGAGCATTTTCTAGTGCTTTACTCTTAATGGTAGGGAACAATGGTTTTAGAACATGCATGGTTAGACTGGGGTATTTATTAGCTCTAAATTGAGAGTGTCATAAATAAAATCCAGGATCTGGTACAGAGACCATGAAGGAGTTCTTTCTATTGGCTTGCTCTTCATGCTTGCTCAACCTGCTTTCTTCAACTGCTCACAATGGTCTGAATACTTTTGCACCAATCTTGAATTAAAAAATATGTACTACAGTTTTGCTCTCAGAATAATCTGGTGGTAGTGTTTTAAACTGAAGTCTTGTCTTGTAAAATGACTGTAGCTTGTGTCAAGTTGATGTAAAACAAGACAGCTCTTTTAAAGACTTTGGGCCTGCCTTGAAGATCAGACTGCTCCCAGCCCCACACAGCCCCAGACCTAAGGGCTACTTGATAGAGCAGCAAGTGCATCTATTGGGTGAACTCAAAGGTTGAGTATTGACTCAAAGGAAACTGAAGAAAAAACCTAGACAGTGAAAGTCCCAGACCTGTTGAGTTCAGGGGAGGCATCATCTCAAACCCCAGTGTGCATGAGTGTGTGCAGTGTCTGACTGAGGGCAGTGAGGGAGCAGCCATGTAGACACCGAAGGGGACAGTTCCATGCAGTGGACATGACACTTTCAGGGGGCACTGTAAGAAAGGACATCATGTTTCTACCCTTCATTAAGTGAGTTAGACACACCAACCCCTGCAACTCTAGGCTGAGTGATGAATCCATCTGCTAAGGATGGAGGTCACCAAAGTTTTACCAAGCACAATGATCCCCATCTGATGGCTTTTTTCTCTTTTCCCTTCCAGCTTTCCTTCCTCTGTTCTGTAACCCTCTCATATCTTCCCAACTCACGATCCAACCAGTGCCTCAGTATCCTACTGAAAAGGAACATGTTCTTCTCCAAGTACATAATCTTCCAGAAGATCTGCAAGCCCTTTGCTGGTATAAGGCTCCATACCTTAAAATTGTAGAATACAACATAGCCAGAAATTCCATCTCCTGGGGGCCCACACACGGAAGAACAAGATGGATAGTATACAATAATGGATCCCTGATGCTCCAGGGTGTCACTGAGAAAGATGCAGGAAAATATATACTAGATGTTATAAAGAAAGATTCCATAATTGAAACAGCATACGTGGAACTTTCTGTAAAGAGTAAGTGACTCTCTATGGTCTCCAACTGCTGGGTGTGGCTTATTGAACTTCATACACTAAACTGTCACTAAACTGGGGCTGTGTATGCTCTCTCCCCCACTGCATTGTGTTCCCTTCCTGGGGTTGAGGCCCCCACTGCAGGATGCATACTGGGTAGCCAAAGTGTAATAGATCAGGACTCCTCCCCTGTCTTTACCTGTAGAGAGGAGGACCTGTGCTGAGTAAACTCAGCCCCATGATGTCAGCCTCAGTGCAGACACGTGGAGCTCTCACCATGCACATGTCTTCAGAAAGACTCTGGGAGTCAAGTAGTCTCTGGCTGATTAAGCCATGGGGTCCTCACAGAGACCACAAGGAAGCCCTGACTCTAAAACTTTGCCTCTGGCTGGACTCAAGGTGACAGACACTAGGGAGCTTTCTGTAACAATTAGTTTAGACTTGTTTGTTTAGATTTCCTGTGAGAGCTGACAGGGAACAAGGCTTTGCTGACTGTCCAGTCATGGGACTGATTATCCCACAGAGTGTGGAACCATCTGTGCACTGCCGTGACAGCTGCAGTTCATAGGTCACCTGAGCATCTCCTTCTCCTGAGGCTCAGTGGACACGTGACTGGGCCATTAGCCTATTGTTCTGATGGGCTTATGAGACTTCACAGGAAGGTCAAGGCACTGAGGGAAGAAACAGAGGAGGAAGCTACTCCAGATTGCTCCTTCACATCAGGGGTCCAGCCTAGGGAATTCTCTTCTGTGGGTAAATAGTAACAGATGCTGCTGATGTGAGCAACTCCCTTATCTCAAGGGGATAGTTATGCTCATACCAAAGCTTAATTCATGGACAAGGCAATCATCATGTCTTATTACAGGGCAACTGAGACACAGAAAGCAGTGCCTGAATCAGGGACACACAGTCCCTGGGTGGCAGGTCCAAATCACAAGATATATCTATAGTCACAGCTCCCAATTCTCCCCCCTGGAAGGTTTATAAAGTCTGAACTAAATAGGGCCTGGTTGAGCTGTCTAGACTGCCGTCATTTACTACTACCCTTCTCTGTTTCTTCACAGAGTATGTGTCACAGCCCTTTGTGCAAATCATTGACACCACAGTCGCAGGAAGTAGATCTGTGACCTTCACCTGCATTTCACCTGACACTGATATCTCCATCCGCTGGATCTTCAATAACCAGAATCTGAAGCTAACAGAGAGGATGACTCTGTCCCCGACAAAGTGTGGACTCAAAATAGATCCTTTCAAAAGCGAGGATGCTGGAGAGTATAAGTGTGAGGTCTCCAACCGATTCAGTTTGGAGACCAGTCTCCCAGTCTCCTGGCCACGATGAGTGAGTGACCTCTCCTCTCATCCCACAGTAGAATGCTCACATTTTTTTTCAATGGGGTAAAGCATGGAGAAAAGTTATGTGGTGAAACTGATCAGTGTCTACTCAGGTATAGCCAGCAGGGTGACTCATGCCTGTAATCTTGGGATACAACTGTGTACAAGGGAAGACCAGGATTTAAAGACATCCAAATTGTAAGCAAAAATTCAAAGGTCTTAAGAGCTTAGCTTGTGCTTCAAATATACAGCGGCCCCTCAGAATTAATAGGAAGTAATTACCAGAGCCCTCAAACTTTTTGATCCTCTGAGTCTGCTTTGAAAGTGGTGCATTGTTTGCATTTAGAAAAACATGCTCTCATATGCTCAAATACATTCTCTCTTTAAGAAATTCACCTAAGTCCAATGCAGTCTGCAGACCAGTCATCTATATGAAGTGAGGAAGAGTGACAGGAGAAGAGTCTGCCCATGTTTCACTGTGGACATATCTGGTTTCTAAATATCTTTGATACACAGCTTATTTAATGCACAGATGGAAAATCCTTCACATAAGGGCAGTTCATACTGTTTTCATCCTGAAAGTAGCATTCACAATGGGACCTTGCACTTAAGTGTTTTTCCTGTTAATATGTACTTTTTTATTCTCCTCTCACATATTACACCCCAACCACAATTTCTCCTCCTACCACTACTCCCTAAACCCAACTTCCCTTCTACCCCAGATCCACTTCTCTTCTGTTTTTCTTTTAAAAAAATCAACAGACCTCCCATGGATATCTACAGAACATGGCATAGCAAGTTATATTAGACTCATCACAATCCCTCATATCAGAGCTGGGAGAAGCAAACCAATAGGAAGAAAAGGGTCCATAGGGCAGGCAAAAGAGTCAGAGATGTCCCCACTTCTACTATTAGGAGTTTCACAAGAATACCCATCTACACTACCATAACTTATATGCAGAGGCCCTAGGTCAAACCCGTACAGGGTCTGTGATTATCACTTCAGTCTCTTGGTCCTCTATAAACCCTGCTTAACTGTTTGTGTTTCATGTTTTCATGGTGTCCTTGACCCCTTTGGTTCCTACAATCTATCCTTCCCCTATTCTGTGGTGTTCCCCTGGCACTGCCAAGTGATTGACTGTGTGTCTCTGCATCTGTTCCCATATTCTGTAGGATGATGCCTCTCTGATGACTATTAGGCTGGACACTGATATACTCATATAAGAGAATATCATTAGTAATCATTTCATTCAAATGTTTTTCCAATCATGTTTGGTTCTATTCTGAATTTCTGCTCTGCCCAGCCTCTATGTCAAGTGTGGGCTCCCTCTCATGGCACGGACTTTAAGTTGGGCCAGTCATTGCTTGGCTAATCCCACAAATTCAGTTCCACTGTTACTTTGGTATGTATTTCAGGAAGGACAGATTGTAGGTTGAAGGTTTTGTGGTTAGATTGGTGTCCCAGTCCCACTGCTAGAAGTCTTCTGTCATTATAAAAAAGGCTGGTTCAGGCTACCTATCCCTCACTATAGGAGTCTCTACTAGGGTGACTCTTGTAGACTCAAGAGAGTTTTCACTGTAGTAGGTTTCCATTTTGTTCCCCAAATGTCCCACTATTCCTGTCATTATTCCAAGTACTCCTCCTTCCATCCCACCTTACCCTACCTGTTTCCTCCTGTCCCCATCTCCGCCCACCCCCTATCCTTCCACAAAATCTTTTTTATTACTTCTTCCCAGGGAGATGCATGGGTACCACTAGAGTCTTTCTTGCTTCTTATCTTCTCTATGCATGTGAGAAAACAGGACATCTAGTGGCTTATGTGCAATATCAGTTTACATTAGTAGAGCTCAGATGGGTGTTTTTGTTCACCAGTTCCAGAAACTTTTGCAAAATCTTTAAGATCTTCAAAAATTAAGTTTCTGTTATCTGTATATCTATTTTACAGCCAACTAATTGGCCAACTTTTATTTATTTTTGTTGCCTAATTGTTCTGTCTAGGATATCTAAGAGAATAGTCAAGAAAAGTGGCCACCACAAACATTTGTGTGGCGATTCTGGTCTTCGAGGAAAAACTATCAGTGCTCTCACTGAGTACTGAGTTGGCAGTGGTTTTTCATGTGCGCCGCTAACGCACTGGCCTCTCTTGTACCCCTAGTTTGTCTGTTTTCCTCATTAAAAATTGTTCACTTTTGTCAAATGTCTTTATTGATTCAGTCTTATGAGTTATTCACGGAATCAGTTTTGTGTTTCTTCATGGTTTCATCTCTGTAGGTTCTGGGCTTTTAGTTATTTGTCTGTTTCATGAAAGTCACTCTATAATTACCCCCATCACTACTGAGTAGTTAATGAAATTTTAGTAATCTGGAAAATTGACATCTAGCTCTCAGATTTCACTTCTAGTGTTGTCGTTATTCTTTTAAAAACCAAGTTGACCTAATTAAAAGTTTTCACTTTGATGAGTTAACTTTTTTCTTTTATTGAAAATAGATTCTTTTCTCATTCAATATATACTGTTCATAGTTACCCCTCTCAACACTTCTCAGTTCCTCCCCATATCTCCTACCATGGGGTCCACTTCCTTTCTTTCTCTCATTAGAGAAGGATAGCCATTGAAGCAATAACAACAAAACATGACAAAATAAAATATCATAAGATGAGACAGAAGCTATCACATTATTGTTGGACCCTGCAACCCGATAAGAACAATGGAGTCTCAAAAACAGACACAAGAATCAGAGACCCACTTGTTCTCAGTGCCAGGAGTCTCATAAATATATAAGCTATAATATACATGCAGAGAACCTGCTGCTGACTCATTTAATCCCTGTGCATGCTGATCTGATACAGAAATCTCTTCTCTGAGGATGAGATCTTATAGTACTTGAAGATTCTATGGAAGCTGGCAACAGAAGCAAACAATCAATTGTTCTACATAGTCATGATTCCAACAAACTACAGCAATGACCAGCATGGCAAGATATCCCCAAATGTGCCAGAGTGGCAGTTATCCCTTGGAGATAACCAAAACCTGTCTAATTGAACTTTAGGCTGCTCAAAAGGAGGAAAATCATGGCTGGTATTAGAATGTACATGAATCAACTGTACATGAATACTTATTTCATGGATCTTAGAGGAGAACCTATAATGGCCACTTTCTTAAACCAGTTTAATTTCTAGGTTCATTCTAAATACACACCCTTATTTCCACAAACAGGAGGAGCTCTAGCCCTACATTGAAGGTACTCTTTTATGCACGGACATGGGCTACCCAAGAAATCCAAAAGTAATGTAAATGCAGTGAATAATGGATAAGAGCAATGGAGTCTCAAAAGCAGACACAAGAGTCAGAGACCCACTTGTGTTTACATTACATTCTTTTCACCCCACCCTCTCCCACTCTACGTCCTCTTAGGATTTTAACTATAGAAATGTCCCCCATAGACTCACATGTTTGAATGTGTGGCCCATAGGGAGTTGTATTACTAGGAGATGTGGCCTTGTTTGGGTAAGGTGTAGCCTTGTTGGAGGAAGTTTGTCACTGTGGAACAGGGCTTTGAAGTTTCATATGGTCAAGTTACTCCCAGTGTGGCACACAGTCTCCTTCTGCTGCCTGAGGATCAAGATGTGAAACTCTCAGCTTCTCTTTTAGCACCAAGCATGCCTGCACGTCACCATGCCTTTTGCCAAGATGATAAGGGACTAAACCTTTGTAACTTTAAGCATGCCCCAAATAAATATTTTCCTTAATAAGAGTTGCCATGGCTTCCATGTCTCTGCACAGTAATAAAACCCTAAGTTAGACACCATGGTGTGTCCAGCCCCACCTGACCTATCTATAACACAACCCTCTTGTTCGAGGTTCAGAGCACATCTCAGAAGAGGATTGGAAACACTGTAAGAGGCAGAAGAGCAGATGGTCTACTGTGAGACTGTGTCTTCTATATAATATGGGGAAGTTATACACAAGGAAAGTCAACCATATGGCTGCATAAATAGACCTGAAAAAATGACAACACCAACTGACATGGCAGGATACATGGGGGAATATCGAGAGGTTCCCCTCGTGCATAAGGAGTTCCAGGTAATTAATGAGTGCTGAGAGAGGGAGAGTCAGTGTTCTCCATGTATGAGACCCTGATAAGTATTCTAATCCCACAGGGTCAACCACAAACACATATACACATGGGCAGCACTAAATGGACCCATCAGATTATATTTATATGTTTATTGATTTATACATAAATATATATGTAATAATAATAACAATTAAAGAAAAAAGCTATGAAATTGAGAGGTAGTTGAAATCCTAAGAGGAGGTAGAGTGGGAGAGGGTGGGGTGGAAAGGATGTAATGTAAACACAATATGTGTGTAGAACATTTTTTAAAATGTACTTTTTTTTTGTTGTTGATCAATTTAGTTTTTATTTGGTGATTTCTTAGGTAAATGCCCATAACACTTCGATATCCATAAGAATGGCAGGTTCTTTCTTCAAATGACAACTATACACCCTAATATCACTTTGTACAGGAAGAGAATACATGTTTAGTACTTTTAACAGCTTTAAAAATAAGAAAAATAAGAATGAATACAAGAGAGAGTTAGGGGAAGTAATAGAAAGAGAAATAGCTACCAAGAGCCTGATGGTGGAGGGAAGTGGAGGAGCCTTTTCTAAGAACACACTCTATTTCTGGGCAACATCAGTGAGCAGTCTTCTCATCCCCAGAACACAGGAAAGGTCTGATCTTTTATAATATTGTTTTAGTAGTGGTGAGGTGCTTCACACCAGGTGACGCAGTTCAGCACAATGAAAGTGACAAGGGATGTGGAGACGCCAGGTGTTGTAAACTGAGAGCAGTCAGGTCACAGCACGGAGAGCTCCTTCACTCTGTCCTAGAGTGAGCTGCAGGGCATGTGGCCTGACTAAGGGTGTGGAAATCTCAACTAAAGCTGCAGACCTGTGCCCTGACATAAAATGAGGTGACCATGCATTGACAATGGATAAGAG